TCACACCCACTGTCCACACTCTCACTCACACCCACTGTCTACACACTCAGTCACACCCACAGTCCACACTCTCACACCCACTGTCCACACTCTCACACCCACTGTCCACACTCTCACACACACCCACTGTCCACACTCTCAGTCACACCCACTGTCCACACACTCACTCACACCCACTGTCCACACTCTCACACCCGCTGTTCACACTCTCACTCATACCCACTGCCCACACACTCACTCACACCCACTGTTCACACTGTCACACCATCTGTCCACAGTCTCACACACACACAATGTCCGCACTCTGACTCACACCCACTGTGCACACTCACACAACCAGGTCCCATTCAAATTCAATGTGCAAATGCATATCCAGTATTCATGCCTCCATCCTGTATTAACACACACGTGCACCCAGGTTCACACAAATAAATCCATGAATGCAGTGTAAGCATTCGTTTCAAGAGATCTAGCATAGAAGAGCGGAGATGTACTGTTGAGGCTGTATAAGGCCCTGGTCAGACTGTATTTGGAATATTTTGAGCAGTTTTGGGCCCCGTATCTAAGGAAGGATGTGCTGACACTGGATGGAGTCCAGAGGAGGTTCACAAGGGGATGATGGGTTTGTCATACGAGGAACAGTTAAGGACTCTGGGTCTGTACTCGATGGAGTTTAGAAGGATGAAGTGGGATCTGATTGAAACTTGTAGAATACTGAGAGGACTAGATAAAGCGGACATGGAGAAGATGTTTCCACTTGTAAGAGAGACTAGGACGCAAGAGCATAGCCTCAGAGTGAAGGGACAACCCTTTCGAACTGAGATGAGGAGGAATTTCTTTGGCCAGAGGATAGTTTATCAGTGGCACTCACTGCCTCAAAAGGCTGTGGTGGCCAAGTCATTGAGTATATTTAAGACAGAGATCGGTAGGCTCTTGATTGGTAAGGGGATCAAGGATTACAGGGAGTAGGCAGGAAAATGGGGTTGAGAAATATATCAGCCATGATAGAATGGCAGAGCAGCCTTGATGGGCAGAATGGCCTAATTCTGCTCCTGTGTCTTATGGTCTGTGAGAGCACACAACACTCCTACACACACAAGGATGCATGGATTCACATACAGACTCAGTAACACACACACAGACTCAGTAACACACACACACACACACTCAGGCCACTAAAACTACAAAGGAAAGGAATTTCCAGCTCTGTGCTGTCAACACAAACTCTCTGCTCCTATGATGCTGCTTGGCCTGCTGTGTTCATCCAGCCCTGCACCTTGTTGTCTCGGATTCTCCAGCATCTGCAGTTCCTACTATCTCCAACACAAACTGTGTTGTTTGGAACACTTGCTCAACCTGATCCAGAATCTGTCAATGCTCCTCCAAACCCCATTTTCTCTACAGCATGCAAACTATCAATTCTCCAAACCCTTCAGTTTTGAAAAGTCATATCGGACTCAAAACGTTTACTCTGCTTCTCTCTCCACAAATGCTGCCAGACCTGCTGAGTTTCTCCAGCAATTCTCTGTGTACATTTTAGATCTCCAGCATTAGCAGTGCTATATCCTTTTCTTGATGGTTTAGTTTTGTACAGAATGCAGTGTTGCATGGGTCTGTCTCCTATCCACTACACCAGTGTCCTGAGCAGTTCCTCTTTATACCTCTTTCGAAGGAATGCTAAACAATTAAACAACCCCTTTAAAAGGCGCTTCCAAATTATTGCAATAAAAACCAAAAACATCAAAGCCACTCAATAAAACACCAGGGCAGCAAGATGATATTCTAAAAATATTGTCAGAAATTGCATCCCACAAAGTAGCAGATCAGAGGCGGGCAGCTACAACCCTCCCCTACCTCGGCATGTGTAACTTACTGGGGGAGGCGACGGCCTAGTGGTATTATTGCTGGACTGTTGACCCAGGTAATGTTCTGGGGACCCAGGTTCAAATCCTGCCATGGCAGATGGTGGAATTTGAATTCAATAAATATCTGGAGTTAAGAGTCTAACAAAGACAGTGAATTCATTGTCAATTGTTGGGGAAAAACCCATCAGGTTCACTAATATCCTTTAGGGAAGGAAACTGCCATCCTTACCTGGTCTGGCCTACATGTGACTCCAGACCCACAGCAATGTGGTTGACTCTGAACTGCCCTCTGGGCAATAAATGCCAGCCTGGCTAGCAACACCCTCACCCTATGAATGAATTTTTAAAAAAAACGCCCCAGGGGTGTTCTGCAGAATATTCGTACAGTCTCAGGATAGACATGTACATATGCCAGTCACGTACTGTTGGTCACTCAGTCACTGCATCAGGGACAGGGAGGAGCCAGAGGGATCCTGAATCCCAAAAGAGAAAACCAGAGGGGACAAAAAAAGCTGGAGCAAAACAAGGGCTGCTGATGCTGATTTATTTAAAAGGACTCTTGACAGTTGGATTGAAATCAAGTCCTTGAGCAATACACAGACCAACCACAGTCACAAACTGAACATCAGGAATTGAAATTATTTGCAGAGGTTAAAGAAGGTTGAGTATATTTACTGGAAAAGAGGAGGTTGCAAGGTCACTTAATTGAAACTTTCCACAGTTAGAACTAAAGGGAATTGACAAAGTTAGTTTGGGAACAATGTTTTCAGTTAAACAGGGTTCAAATCCCAGTGGATGAGTAGGAAAAGAGAAGAAATGGAACTTTATTGTCAGAAGTTAGGAGAAAAGGACATCAAAATGTTAGTTAGTTAGTTATTCTAATTGTATTGTTAAGGATTAAGAATTGGAGAATAGTCATTAATTAAGCATCTTGAACATATATAAAAACAGACTGTACTCAGTAACAAATTGTAATTTAATAAGTTACTTTGATGTTTCTGTTTTTTTTAATTGCAGTAACATGGAAGCATGCCTTTACAGGGGATGTTTAATTGTTTACCATTCCTTCAAAAGAGGTATAAAGAGGAACTGCTCAGGATATTGGATATGGTGGATAGGAGGCAGACCCGTGTAACATTGCATTCTGTAAATAACAGAACCATCAAGAAAAGGATATAATACTGTAGGTGTTGGAGGTCTAAAACGAACAAAGAGAATTGCTGGAGAAACTCAGCAGGTCTGGCAGCATTCGTGGAGAGAGATGCAGAGTTAAAGTTTTGAGTTTGATATAAGTTTTCAAAACCGAAAGATCTGGAGAACTGATGGTTTGTATGCTGTCGAGAAAATGGGGGTTGGAGGAGCAAGTGGGGAAGATGCCCCAGAGCACAGGAAGTGCTAATGACAGTAGAGAAGGGATAGAGATGCAGTTTAGATGTTAATGGTGGGTGTTATAGCAAAAGATAGATTAGTTCTACTTTGAACAAACCTGTGCAAACAAGTTTCCACGTGGCAGAAGGGATGGATGGATGGAAGGTGGGTAATCAAAGTGGAGGAGAGTGTTCATGCTCTGAGGTGTTTGAACTCAGTGTTGAGAACTGAAGGCTGTAAACTGTTGAAGGGGAAAGTGAGGTGCAGTTCCTTCAGCTTGTGTTGCGCTTCACCGGAACACTGCAGCAGGTCTAGGACAGGAATATTAACGTGACAGTGAGATGTTGTTTTGAAATGGCTACTGACTGTCAGGCCGGGTTCGTTCCAACAGAGTCGAGGTGTGCCGCAAAGTTATCTCTTACTCAGTGTTTGGTAGGAGTGATGTAAGAGTGCTTTACAGAGGGAACAGGTCCCTGCAGAACGCTGACAGGGGGAGATTTGTTTGGTGGTATCCTATGACAGAAATGGCAGATGATGATGCTTTGAATGCGGAGGCTAGGGGATGGAAAATGAGGTGGAGGGCCACACTATCAATGTTCTGAGAGGGACGTGAAGAGGCGAGTGGGGAAGTACAGGGAGTGGGTCGGACGTGACTAACGGCTCTGTCACCCATAGTGGGTGTGAGAGCAAGTTCTTGGTGAGGAAAAAGGAAGACATGTTGGAAGTAACATTGTGGAAGGTGGCAACATCAGCACGAATATGAAGGAGAGGAAGAAACTGGGGAGAATAGAATGGAGTCCTTGCAGGAAGCAGGTTGTGAGGTAGTGTGATCAAGGTGACTGTCGTGGTTGATGGGTTTGTAATGAATAGTATGGGACCAAAAATGGAAATTTCTTCATAATTGGAAACAGGGAAATTGAGGAAGGGAAAACAAGGAGAGGCAAAGGTGGACAAGATGAAGGTGAGCGAAGGATGGAACTTGGGAGCAAAATATCTGAGAAGGGAGTTTTGAGCAACAGAGAGTTGAAATGTTTCTTGTTTCAGTCCTATTTGGGCCCCCTTCCCACAACTCTATCCCTCGGTACTTCAATGCTTGCATGTGTGCTGCTTCCTGCTGTTGTCTGGAATCAGAAAAAAAAGGAATCAATTTGCGCTCCAACCTCCTCCAAGGCTGGAGAAGGTCATTTTAATGAACTTGGCAACTTAAATGAATGTGGGTACAAGTGGCTGCTGACTGAAACTCTGTCTCCCTCAGTACAGGGAAATTTGCTGTCTTTGTACACGCCAAGACCCAGGAGCTGCGGGCGAAGGACCTGAACATGAAGGTGCACGGGATCCCAGGCCACGTCTTCCACTTACAGCTGCTTGAGAAGTGTCATGTGAAGCAGCAGATCTTGTTGCGAGCCCGCACTGAGTGAGTAAGCCAGCACTGGGCTGAGAGAGCAGTAACTGCCATTGCAGAGCGGTATTGAATTGATGTTGGTATGGGACTCCTAATTAACCTGCTCTTTGAATCCATCCCTTTACTGGACCTTTTCTATCAAGATAAACAAAAAGACATGACACCACCAAAGTAAAACAAACTGAAACAAAGGTGCCGAAGATCTAAAACAAAAACAGAAAAATGGTAGTGAAACTCTGCAGGTCTGTGGAGAGAAAGCAGAGTTCATGTTTTGAGTACAGTGACTGCTAATTCTGAAGAAGGGTCACTGGACCCGAAACGTTAACTCTGTTTCTCTTCACTGCTGCTGAGTTTCGTCAGCAATTTGTGTTTTTGTTTATGAACCGGCGTAGACCCAGTTGACAAGCTTGTTCATGATCAATAATTGACCAGCCATCTTTTGTTCTGGTGTCTGGCAAGTCCGCAGGGAGCCAGAGCCCAGAGAATGATTCCTGTTCTATTGTTCAATAATTTTTAACTCGCTGAGACCTTCAGTCCTGCAACAAGCCTGAGCCCCTGCTCAAATTCACCGCACATTTGCACAACATTAGTGTCAAAGCGAAGGTTCTCACCGGGTGCACACCTGGGTGGAAGGGACACTGTGTTAAAACTGAACTGTTTCTCGGGGGTTTGGTGATTCCATGCGTTGTCAGAAAAACGCTCAGGGATAGAGACCCAGCTGTGAAAACCCAGCTGCTGGCTCCTGGGGACAAGTATGAGAGGCTAGTCCCATCCTGATAAAGGTTGAGGCCTGAGTTAACAATTCTACACATGCCATGTGGTCTCCAGTGAGTTAGATTTTGGGAGTGTGGGCTGTGAGTCTAAGCAACTATCAGCTCTTGAATCCAGCTCCTGGCACCTCACCTGGTCTCACTTGGTTTTTGTGCTCAATATCTTTTTTTTTACACTTTTTTTGGGAAGGGGGATGGATGATTTCCCCAGGGGAAAGCAGCCCAGCTGCTCCTCTGGCTGTGACCTGGCACGAAGGAGGAGTGGCACCAGCCTGAGGGTCCAGTGATAACACAGTGTGGAGCTGGAGGAACACAGCAGGCCAGGCAGCATCAGAGAAGCAGGAAAGCTAACATTTCAGGTCAGGAGATAGCAGGAACTGCAGATGCTGGAGAATCTGAGATAACAAAGTA